GGAATCAAGCCCACTCAGAGCATGAATGGTACAGTCTTATTTAAGAAAAAAAAAAATCTATGTTACTTACCTGAACATTTGAGCTAAATTATTTTATATAGGATTTGATATAACAGTACTTAATTTAATGAAAGACTTAAAAGTCTTGACAATGTGTGGCTTTAAAAATTTCTAAAAGATTTGTTCAATAAATACATGAGTTTTTAAGGTTTAACTAAATATTTTTTGTGTCCTTTTTTTATCCAATAACTGATTTTTGAGTTCTACCTCATGCCCAAAATTCTATTTGACTTTAAATTAAATGTGAGACAACACTATGAAACAATTTAAAAGCTAATCTGATCAGGCGAGTATGCTTATGTGTGGCTAGGTGGTGAGGGCTCTTAATGGAAATATATTCTCAAGAACAAGGTTAGTGTGGGTCCTACTTTATTTTGTTATGTTCAGACTAATGCCAGTGTCCTGCAGTAAACTCTGGCTACATCGACCAGTTGGGATACATTTGAAGGCAGGATGGTAAAGAAACCAAAGCCATGACTCATGAAAAACTGCCTAGGGCAATAATGTAGGAGTATGAGTATAACCATTCTCAAATACTTGCAAGGCTGTTGTATGGAATAAGATTTGTTCTGCATAGCCACAGGGATTGAGCTACAGGTGGAAATAGAAAAAAAACAAAACATTTAAACTCAGTATAGGAAAGAACTTTCTGATAAAACACAGGGTCAGTTGTAACTGCTTGAGAATTTATACTGAGACTGAACAGAAAAGTTTTCAAGTGTATATTTCTTGAAAAGAAATGAGCTAACAAAACAGCATTAAATACTATGCTTTCATAAATCTTAGGCCCAGAGACTGGACAGGTAATAAATTTCAAGATGTAATTAAAAAGGGGTCTTCATAGTCTCAGTAGGTGCAACTAAACAAGGTATTTATAAATAAAAAATACTCATTTTCTATGTACATCAATAGGGAAAGAAAACTGTATAATTCAAGAGAACAGATCAACAAGTAAGCAATAAACTAAATATATTTAGTATCCAGTAAACAAAAAGAAGGGAAATAAATGGATTTAGCTATACTGAACTTTGGAATTAAAAGGAGAAATGTCATCAAGTGAATGTTAGTTTCAATAAAAAAAAATCTGAGTCTTCCTTACTAAAAAATAAGTTCTGAATGACCTTGTCTGTAATCACCTGTATTATCATTTACTTCTAATAAGAATGTTGGTTTTGCCACAATTCTAATATTCAACAGAAAACCATATATTTAGCTAGGTAATATATTCAGACATTTCAATGAAATTAAATAAAAGAAAATCCTGGCTTAACAGATGGGTACCATACATAATTTCTAAACTTGTCTGGCTGGCTCAGCTAGAAAGCTGAGCTGCTTTACATTTACAAAATCAACAACTGAAAACTGAATCTTGCATTAGGGTTCTTTTCTTTTAGCTTTTTCTATTTTATTTTAGCATAGTCTACCATTTAATTAAAATAAGACTATATTTCATTTATACCTAGAAACATCTGATTAAAATTAGAATAAAACATCCCTATAAACATAGCATAATTAAATACCAATATGTTAAATGTACATTTAAAAATAAATCACAGCTTCTTATGCATTTGGGAATCTTAATGGAGAGAGAGAATTGAGGATGTAAAGCAGGTAACAAAGCCCTAAAAACTGTTTGAAGTATATTTTTTTTCTTAATCAGCTGATATTTTCCTTCCTAAAAATACATATAACAAGTAATTTTAAAATTCAATGTAATTAAAATGATTTAAAAATTTTAAGTAACTTCAGAATTATAGTCAGCATAAGTAGAAGGAAGAAACACTTTTGAAACATTTTGACAAAATTTGTGATGTCAAGAGAAAAAAATGTCAGAAATAGACATTAAATGCCCTATAAATGTAATAAAACAAGAAAAAACTTTTTGCGAGTACATTTTGTAAAATACAAATAATAGTAGAAAATTGTCATTTTGAATGTTGGCAATTAATAGTAGTAAAGTAACTTCTATGTTATTCTTACATTTCTTTCTTTTTTGCTCTCATTATCTTATCCTAATTCCAGTCTCTACCAGTAGGATTGGAAGCTTTATCATTGTAAGCCATGGTTCCTAAACTTGCCTATGCATCCAAATCACTTGGCAAGTTTTTAGCATTGGTTCTGCAGCCCTACCTAACACCCATTGAATCAAAGCCTCATGAGAGACCTGGAAATTTTCTGTTTAAAAAATGTATCTGGTAAGGTATTAATATCCAAAATATGTAAAGATCTCATACAACTGAACAGAAAAAATATCTGATTAAAAAATGGGCAGAAAAACTGAACATTTTTCCAAAGAAGACATATAAATGGTAAACAGGTACATGAAAAGATGCTCAATGTCACTAATCACCAGGAAAATGCAATTCAAAACCACAACGAGGTATCAGCTCACCCTGTTAGAATGGCTATCATAAAAAAGACAAGAAATAACAAATGTTGGCAAGGATATGGAGAAAAGGAAACCTTCATGCACTGTTGGTGGGAATGTAAATTGATGCAGCCATTGTGGAAAACAGTATGGAGTTTCCTCAAAAAATTAAAAATATCACATGATCCAGTACTTCTACTTCTGGGCATACATCCAAAAGAAAGAAAATCACTATCTCTAAGAGATATCTGCCCTCAAATATCCATTGAAGGATTATTTACAATAGCCAAGACATGGAGATGACCTAAAGGTCCATTGATGGTTAAACAATATATATAAAAGACAATAATACACACAAAAAAAAAAAAAAAAAAGGAAACTTGCCATTTTTGATAACATGGGTGGACCTTGAGGGCATTATGTTAAATAAAATAAGACCGAGAAAGACAAATACTGTGTGATCTCACTTATATGCAGAATCTAAAAAACCCAAATTCATAGACAACAGAGACCAAATTGGTGGGTGCCAGAAGTGGAGGTTGGGAAGGATTGGTTAAATGTGGTCAAAAGGTACAAACTTCTAGTTATAAGTTCTAAGGTTGCAATGTATTTCACTATGACTGTGGTTAACGATGGTGTATTATGTATTTGAAAGTTGCTAAGAGATCTTAAAAGTTCTCATCACAAGAAAAAAACGGTAACTGTGAGGTGATGGATATTAACTAAATTTATTGTGGTAATCATTTCACAATAGATACCTATATCAAATCATTATGTTGTATACCTTAAACTAATATGATGTTATATGTCAATTCCATCTCAGTAAAACAGGAAAAACAATCTTTGCGGGTGCTTCTATGGCAGGGGGTCAGTACTGGGGAATTACTGACCTATTTTTTATTTTTTTTAGAATTTTTATTTATTTGAGAGAGAGAGAAAGGGAGAGAGAGACAGCATGAGCGAGAGGGGCAGAGGGAATGAGAGAATCTTAAGCAGACTCCACACTGAGTGCGGAGCCTGACATAGGGCTTGATCCTAGGACCCTGAGATCATGACCAGAGCAGAAACCAAGAGTGGACACTTAACCAACTGCACCACCCAGGTGCCCCCTACTGACTTACTAAAATGTTGCCCTAATTGCATTTGTACTTATAGAATCATCCCCTCCTTTCTAATCCATCTGGCTCAAGCCACTACTTCCATCTTCCTAAAGCATCTCTCCGATATTACCTTTCTATTCTAAAACTTTCAATAGCTCATAAATGATCTTCAGTCTGTCTTTTTCAGGAGATTACCAGTCATCTTTCAAGGTACAGATCTAAAGGCGCCTTCTCCAAGATGCCCACTTTCACTACCTATGATAAAAATCATCACTTCCTATCTGGAACCCCCATAACATTCTGGATTATCCATGTGGTGCTTATAACTTTGACGTTTGTATTATAAATATCTGTCCATGTTTTATTTTTTGCATTAGATTGCATATAATCGAGGATTAGGGACAATGGATTACCAAGCTGTATACTGCATACATATTTCACAAAAGTAGATAATGATTTGTATTAATTAATGCATGAAGAGATAGAAAACAAAATGGCATTCTTGACTTAAGAGTTAAATTCAGAGGTTTTATAAGGAGAAAAATAAGAAATGTTTCTAATAGAGCATTCGAGCTGTATGTGTTGTTAAGCCAGCATCAGGTGTAGGGACCAATAAACTGTTGTACATCAGCCTCAGAGCTATAATTCATATGCCTATTTAAACTTATGCAAATGAGGACATTACAGTGGAAACATATATATAACATGTATATCAATAAAAGAAAACAAATTACTCTATAATTTGTTGCTGTTAAAGTAGGCCTAACTCATTAAACTGCTCGGTGGCTAAAGCATATGAAAACATCTGGTGTGGAAGGTCATAGGCTATTAATAGAATATATTCCAGAAACAAAACCAGGAAATAAAAATTCCTTTTCACTGTATTTCTGGTCCCCAGTTATGCACCTGACTATTCAATATCAGCTCAAACTCCCTCTTCTTCCCACCCACGGATATAGTTTCCTGGGTACTATTACTACAGTTTCCATTTCTCCAAGGTCGTAGTCCCACAATCATTTTCCCAAAGCCTCTTTGAAAGCTTCTTTATGTCCTCAGAATTTTGTTAAGGGATGCATTTGATAGGTGATCAAAAGAATAACTGAAGATTAATATCATTGCTCTAGTTTGAAAAAGTCACAGATGTTATTTTAAGAGAACAATCTGTGTGACAAAAATTATCTGTACTTTGTAAATGAAAAAACTAAAATAAGACTGATCAAAAACTAATGATGTAATGTATGGTGATTAACATAAAAAAAAAAGACTAACTGATTTTCCCAAGGTATATCCAATTCAGTTCCCTTCCCAACATACCTAATCTTCCCAAAGATATTTAAGTTTTAAGGAGACTCCTAGGGACACAATCAATATTTTGGATAGGAAGATATCACTACACCCTTTCAATCTCCTCAAGTATGTGAACAGTGATACATATGGCTCATTTGTTCATTATCTAGATCACTGGTTAATAATTAGACTTCAATTACTGTGAGTTTAATCATTATCTGTATACATCATTGAGTAAAGTAAATCACATATTTTACTAGGTCAAGGAAATATTGCCAAATATTTGATTATTAATCAAGCAAAGCAAAATAACAGACAAAAGCCAAAAATAATAAACCTAACAACTCACATATTGGAAAAAATTACTTAAAGACTTGTTCAGAGCAAGGAATGAAGAGAGAATTCTGCATTTCATAAAAATCTTAACTGCCATCATCTGAGGAAATTTTTCAAATAAACAACCTGGAAAAAGAGAATAAAGCATTTTTTAAGCATATATGAATTTTAAATCATTAAGAGATTTAGAGAAAAAATATGTAAAATTCCTTAAATATCAACAAAGTATCTAATATTACATTAAATAGAAATCTAACTCTTTTGGACAAATATTATTCAAACTTGAAGTTTCTACTCAAATGTTTATTCAACTAATATGAAAAAAATAACACTGAGTATATTTGGCTTAGTTTAAAATTACGTTACAATTCTTGGTCATTGTTAGGTCTTATAGCACATGTAGATTAATTCTACATAAATATGCTTAAAATTATTTTTCAAAAAAAAAAAAAAACCCAAGGCAATATAGTAAAGCAAACATGTTTGAAGGATAAAGACATAAAGTTTAGAATTTAGTTCCTTAAAATTAAACCTTCTCTAGAAGAACTTTATATGAGAAATCAAGAGTACTGTGTACATTTGCTTATGACAAAGTTGAAACGTTTTAGGTTGTCTAAGAACAGACTCACAACACATACTATAAACTAATAAAAGTACAGTGATTTTACTTACAACTAAAAGTAAAATTTAACTTTCCAATCTGATGTAAGTAAATATAACTAAATAAATTTGTGACATATTTTCAGTCAATGGACTTTCTAACTTGTCTTTATCAATCTAGGGGATATGTTAGAAAATGCTGGTTACTGAGTGGGCCTTCCCAGAGAGTATTTGAGGAAATGTTTAGATAGCTGCACAATAGCTCTCAGTGGGTTTGTATTTTTTTCTGCTTGGATGTCCTACTAACACATGATGGCTAAGAAGCCCATAATTATATTTTAACTTATTAAAAATCTCTCCCTTTTAAAATATTTTCATGTAAAGCTCCTTCTGACTCCAAACTGACTGCCTTTCCCTTTGACATGTTCCCAGTATTTACTAAGTCTTGAGAATACTTCAATTACATGCCTCTTATTTATATTTGCGCTCCAAAACTGTTATCTGGATTATTACAATAACCAGTATTTCTTTATTTTTAGACCAGTGCAGAGTTTCTAAGATAATCTCTGTTAAATTTTGATTTTTTAAAAGGTTTATTCATTTATTTGAGAGACAGCATGAGCAGGGAGAGGGGCAAAGGGAGAGGGAGAAGCAGACTCCCCATTGAGCAGGGAGCCCGATGCCAGGCTCCATCTCAAACCCTGAGATCATGACCTGAGCCGCCAAAACCAAGAGTCCAACACTTAACTGACGGAGCCACCCAGGCGCCCTACATTTTGTTTTCTTACTAGTTCTCTATTTATCACTGCATCTGTCTTGCATTCAAAAGAATCTTACACTCATTCTCTTAATCCCATTCTCTTCAATCTTATATTTGTTTATTCTGACATAAACTTTCTTCTGCATTTGTAGTGTATTTATAATTATCTCCATTTACCTTTCCTATTTATCAACAGTGCCTTATATAGTATAGAATAATCATTAGGTATGCATTTTTTAAAGGGAAGAAGGAAATGGAGTAAAGGTAATAATAAGTCCATCTTCACTGCCTGAGACATCACAATTGCCTCATACCAAATATATCATCCTGATATTACCTTTCTTATGTACCTTAATTCTAAATTCTATTTCTTAAACGTTACAGAGAAAACTTAAAGACATATCATTGAAACTCACCCAGGAAGTCATGGAAATGGGAATTTGGACACAGATGTCATCAATTATGTTGTACTTTGAGCCTTGTAGAAGACTTTATAAATCTATTAATAAAATTAACAAGTCAGGAAACAACAAATGTTGGTGAGGACGTGGAGAAAGTGGAACCCTCTTACACTGCTGGTGGGAATGCAAGCTGGTGCAGCCACTCTGGAAAACAGTATGGAGGTTCCTCAAGAAGTTAAAAATAGAGCTACCCTATGACCCAGCAATGGCACTGCTAGGGATATACCACAAAAATGCAAATGTAGTGATCTGAAGGGGCACCTGCACCCCAATATTTATAGCAGCAATGTCCACAATAGCCAAACTATGGAAAGAGCCCAGATGTCCCTCGACAAATTGATAAAGATGTGATACACACCCATACACAATGGAATATTACTCAGCCATCAGAAAGGATAAGATCTTACCATTTACATTGATATGGATGGAACTGGAGGGTATTATGCTGAGCAAAATATGTCAGAGAAAGACAATTATCATATGGTTTCACTCATACGTGGAATATAAGAATCAGTGCACTGGATCATGAGGGAAGGGAGGGAAAACTGAATAGGAAGAAATCAGAGAGGGAGACAAACTATGAGAGACCCTTAACTATAGGAAACAAACTGAGGGTTACTGGAGGGGAGGTGAGCAAGGGGTTGAGGTAACTGGGTGATGGGCATTAAGGAAGGCACGTGATGTGATTAACACTAGGTGTTACATGCAACTGATGAATTATTGAACTCTACATCTGAAACTAAGGATGTACTATACATTGGCTAGTTGAATTTAAATAAAATCTATTGATACAATTAGGCAGTATAGGAAGCAAGTATTGATCATGTTTAGAAATTAACAAACTGGCCAGTCCCAATGGGGAGGGACTGTAGGACTCTTTCACTAGCTTGTTTAGAATAAAGCAAGAACAAGAAATAAGGCAATGGCTGGGAGGGATGGGGTGACTGGGTGATAGACACTGGGGAGGGTATGTGCTCTGTTAAGCGCTGTGAATTGTGCAAGACTGTTGAATCTCAGATCTGTACCTCTGAAACAAATAATGCAATATATGTTAAGAAAAAAAAGAAGAAGAAGAAGAAGGTAGCAGGAGGGGAAGAATGAAGCGGGGGAAATCGGAGGCGTGGACGAACCATGAGAGACGATGGACTCTGAAAAACAAACTGAGGGTTCTAGAGGGGAGGGGGGTGGGAGGATGGGTTGGCCTGGTGGAGGGTATTGAGGAGGGCACGTTCTGCATGGAGCACTGGGTGTTATGCACAAACAATGAATCGTGGAACACTTCATCTAGAACTAATGATGTAATGTATGGGGATTAACATAAGAATAAAAAAAAAAAAAAGAAAAGAAAAAAGAAATAAGGCAATGACAAAAGAATTTCCAAGGTATTAAGTCACCTTACTTCCCCAGGCAGTCACAAACATCGTAATCACAAAGACTTAGAGAGGCTAGAGTTGTCTATACTATCTCCATTTTGACATCCACTCAACTCCTCACCCATCATTCTGGCCTCTAGTCTCATGAGTCCTTTGAAACAGCTCTTGCTGAGATTCCCAAAGATTTCCATTTTACTAAATCTCATGAACATGTTTCAGATTTAGTTGATATTATGATAGTTTTTGACACTGGTCTTCTGTCACACATTTACCATATTTCACTCCTTCTGGGTCAGCTCTTTCTTCATTGCTTGCAGGCTCCTTATGTACATAGGCATTAAGTGGTGGAGTACCTCAAAGTTTAGTTTTAGGCTTTCCCTATTTTTATTCTATACTCTCTTCCATGTCCACAGCTTGAATTACTACCCAAATACAAATAATTTCTTCTGAGCTTTAAGTCAATACATTCAATTTCCTATAAGACATCTCTCCTAGGACTTATTTCCAAACACATATTCATGTCCAAAATCAAATTCATGATTTTCCCACACACTGAGTTTTCTATTTCAATGAATAACACCCACATCCATCTAGTTGTACAAGTCAGAAAACTCTCTTGATGACTAACTGATCTATCCACCTCCATCTTAATGCCCCTTTAGTTCTCTCACAACACTGAAAGTTGGGTGATCATTTAAAAATGAAAATCTGATCACTTCTCTCCCTTGTGGCCTCCCATCCCTCTTAGACAAATCTTGACGTGACCTAAAGACCCTACATGATCTGATTATCTCTACTTCTTTAATTTTTTCCCTTGGCATACTTTTCTGCATTCCCTGTGCTTTAAAATGGTGGCCTTTTCCATTCCTTTTCTGGTTTCTCTCTCAAGAATTTACCTGACTTTTCTCCCCCATACTTATCAACTGGTTAATTTCTGGTTTATCCTTTCAATAGAAGCTCATGTGTACCTTATTCAGGAAAGCCTAGCTTAACTAATAAAGTAAAATGTCTTTATTATAAGCTCTCAAAATAGTGTATATCGGGGTGCCTGGGTGGCTTAGTCATTAAGCGTCTGCCTTTGGCTCAGGTCATGATTCCTGGGTCCTGGGATCGAGCCCCACATCAGGCTCCCTGCTCAGCGGGAAGCCTGCTTCTCTTTCTCCCACTCCCCCTGCTTGTGTTCCCTCTCTCACTGTGTCTTTCTGTCAAATAAATAAAGTCTTTTAAAAAAAAGAATAAGAAAATAGTGCATTTTTCAAAGTTGAAACTTTATTTTTTACAATTATCTAATTACTCGGGCACCTGGGTGGCTCAGTCGGTTAAAGGTCTGCCTTTGGCTCAGGTCATGATCCCAGGGTCCTGGGATTGAGTCCCACATACGCTTCTCCCTTTCCTCCCTACTTGTGCTCTCTCTTGCTATCTCTGTCTCTGTCTCTCAAATAAATAAATAAAATCTAAAAAAAAATTATCTAATTACTCTTCTTTTCCTTTTCTAGACTATAATTTTCAAGAAGACAAAGGCTATACTTGTTTTTGCTCCTTTTTGTGTTAAAAATACCCAGCACATAGTAGGAAATCAATAAACACTAATTAAATGGATGAACAAATTAATGTTTATAGTCTGAATTGGATAGATGTATATATCCAGAGCTTTAAGCTGGGTTAATGAATAAGAAGGGCAGAAAAAAAAAATCCCTAAGAAGTTTTACTATTTGACATCTAGACCCTAAGAGAGTTTATCCAGGCTTAATATAAGACTTTAGGTTTGGGGCGCCTGGGTGGCTCAGTCATTAAGCGTCTGCCTTCGGCTCAGGTCATGATCCCTGGGTCCTGGGATCGAGCCCTGCATCAGGCTCCCTGCTCGGCAGGAGCCCAGCTTCTCCCTCTCCCACTCCCCCTGCTTGTGTTCCCTCTCTCGCTGCGTCTCTCTCTGTCAAATAAATAAATAAAGTCTTAAAAAGAAAAAAAGACTTTAGGTTTTAAATGTTTGAGAATTGGGATGCTGAATATGTGGTAAAGAAACTAGCAAGCATTAGAAAGGGAGGTCAAAGTTTAGGGTCAATCCTTGGTTTAATTGGTTATTCATCCATCTACTTAAAAATATTGTTAAATGCCTACTATGCGTGGTAGACTATGCTAAGCATTATGGCTACAAAGAAAAGATGATGCTCGCCCTTACACAGCTTTCAATATAGTAGCTAAATGGCTCTGAGGCCTACGCAATGGTAAAGGAGCTTCTGATCTATCTCAAGGTCTAAAATGCAATGATTCTGGGATGCACATGACAAAAGCAGATGGCAGGGTTGAAGGATGATAATGTCTAGATGGATATGTGAACAGAAGAGGAAGGAGTTCAATCAGACACCATTGGAGATGATCCTAGAGTTTCAGTAGTACTTAACAACATTATAAATGGCTACTATTTGAAGAGAGAACATATTTATTAAAAATTAAAATAACCTGTTGCATGTGGTATTTGACATTTTGAAGACTAGAGTGACACACTATCAGAAGAATCAAAAGTATAATGGATTATATTGAGGTAGGTATTAGTTATTGAAATGCCAGTTTGGTGCTGACTATATTCAAGAAAACAAATAGATATATTGATTTATAGTCATCTGTATTTTTCCCTCATGGAGGATAATGAAAAACAAACCTATATCTATACTGGCTTAAATTACAAAAACAAAAACAATGAGTAAAACCCAAAAAAAACAAGGTTTAACTATAAGGAAAATATGGCAGCAAATAAATCTAGTTGGGATAGTTTTTGTAACAATTATCTGGAAATACAAAGATGAAGTATATATGTCCCTGGATTTTTTTTCCTTATGTGTAAAGCCTAGGCTTGTATTTGTGACTTTTGTTGGAATCTTAATAAGTAGAAAGCAATTATGTATCCTGAAAAAATTTAAAGAGAAGATCAGAAAAAAATATGTCTTTTCTACTTGAAAAATGAGGAGACAAATTGATGAAGCAAAACAATTTAGAACTCACACAGAGATGTTTTGTGAATAAGTGGCTGATAAGAAATAATGATATACTCTAATCCCAGAAAGTCACTAAACCAATGGCACATTTATATAAAATAAGCACTCACTTTGGGAATATTTAACAATGAGTTAATGAAAATGTGAACGGGAACATGGGATTTATATGGAGGTTAGGGAAAAAAAGAGAAATAAAATGTAGTTACTGAGTGCTACACCCATAAGATAAATATCTCTGGACAGATAATCATTCCATATTCTTATGGAGGAGGAACAGGGAGTAAGTCATAAAAAGCAGGTCCCACGTCCTCTTTGTCTTGCAGAGATTATGAAATCTTTTAGTTGATCAAAATGTCCTTCATTATACATTAATGGTGTTCTGATATTTAAATCAGTTCTTTGAGAAAATATAGAAAATAAACCAGTGTCCCAAAACCTGATCAATCCTAAGTGAAGTAATAACATTGATTTCCTAGAAACGCCACGTAGGAGATTCAACCTCGACACCTAGAGATTCTTCCAAAGGCCAAGATAGTGGGCTCTGCCCTCAACCTATCCATGAGTCTTTCTTTACCCATTTTCTTGAAAATGCTTATTTACAGATAGAAGGAGTGTTACAACACAGGGCAAACTAGAAACATTATCAAAGAACCACCAGA